GTCAAAACTAAATTAGAGATATCTAGAATTGTAATTATGACTAGTCAAAATTCATTTTAAGATATCTCTAAATGAATTTAAGATATCGTGAATATATTTTCATCCAGAGGGCTTTTCTATTTAAGATATCTTGAATTAATATTATGACTAGTCAAAATGACATTCAAGATATCTTGAATATTGATTCTGACTAGTCAAAATGTCACATATTTACGTAGCATTTTGGTGGAAAAATTACTACATAGACATCATAGCTATATTTAGATACCGTAATGTTTCACTGCAGCCGCCATCTTGGATAGGTCCCCATCTAAAATAATCAAAGCTCCGTGATTTGTTTACCCGATTTTCACACAGTTTGGTTTGTTACAAATGGCAGAGATATAGTTATGATACAGAACACTATCACAAATAAAAAATCTGAGCTTTCATGCTGAAATACTTTTTTAATGTTATTTAACAAAGACTATAAGTATTTATATCTAAATATAGCTTTATTTTATAAAATATGAATTGGATGACTTAGTGTCCTATTCTTACTGAGTATATATTACTATATATATTTATTTATGCATGGATGAATATGTTATACATACATTTTTTGTTTCTTCCTTTTTCTCCTGTTAACAGGTATATGTGTTTTTCTTTTATCTTTTTATTGTCTTTTACTTTATTTATATATGGCGCGAAATAAACTCAGACTTTAACAAAGACAGACATACAGTATATGGTATGGCATATTAATAAAAGTATAAATGAATAAGAATAGAAATCATCTTTATTGTGTCTCAGTGGAGAAAATTAGGTGCATCAGCAGCAAAGTGACTGGCAATTCACACAGGGTAAAAATATATTTAAAATTTTATGAATAAGAAATTAAGTAAATTTTAAAGAAAACAAATAATATAGGAAAAATATTTTAATAGAAAAAAACTTGTTTGATTGTTCCTTTGAGTTTATTTCTTTTAAACAAACACACTATGACCCTTCTGTACACAGCAATTAAAAATTATGTCTCTGTCACTGTGAAATCTTCAAAATGKAAAAAAACAAACATCAAATGATAATACAAGAGAACCAGTTCCAGCTGTTATTTTGTTGATTG